ACCACTAGACCCCGCCCCCCTCCCCTAGCTGGGGATAGAACCCAGGAGTCCGGGCTCCCAGCCCTCCCTGCTCTAACCACTAGCCCCCACTCCCCTCCCAGAGCCAGGAGAACCCAGGAGTCCTGGCTCCCAGCCCCCCTGCTCTAACCACTAGACCCCACCCCACCTCCCCGAGCTGGGGATAGAACCCAGGAGTCCGGGCTCCCAGCCCCCCCTGCTCTAACCACTAGCCCCCACTCCCCTCCCAGAGCCAGGGAGAACCCAGGAGTCTTGGCTCCCAGTGCCCCCATTCTGACCACTAGACCCCCTCTCCCCTCCCACACACCTCAGAAATGCAGCCCCCAACACTGGCAGTTGGCGTTAGGCCAGTGCTGTGCCCCCAGGACACCTGCGAGCCCCTCACGGGTGTGTGTGTCTGGGCCGGCCCATGGGATATGGGTTTGAACAGCAAAGGGGTTTCTCAGCTTTCGCTGTGTTATAGCAAGGTCACCCCATTGAACTCGGAGCCCATGGAGACTCGCTGCCCTGAGCATGCTGGAGTCATGACGTGTGGCCCCTGGTGCGGCGCACGGCCCCTGGTGCAATGCACGGCCCCTGGTGTGGCGCACGGAGGGCGTAACAGCAGAGCCTGGCACATTCTCCCCATGGCGGAGAGGGGAGCTGAGGGCCTGAGAGAGGCAAGGACTTGCCCCTGGTCACTCGGGGAGCCCATGGGAGAGTCAGGACTGGAATCCAGCTCTCCTAGGCGAGCTCTTTCCCCCATGCTGCCTCTGCCCCCAGAACGCCCCAGTTCCGGCCCCTCACAGCGACTCCTGCGCCCAGCAGGCCGGACGGCACATCCTGAACCACATCGCCGCAGCGCAGCTCTTCCCCCACCGGAGCCGTCAGCGACGGAAACACAACGCTGACGAAAGTCACCTCTGAGTCACACCCCGAGCGGCTTTGGGAACCGGTGCTTCCTGCTGAACGCTGGTCTGGCCACCCCAGCCACTCACCCGGGTCCCGGAGCCCCCTGGAGCCTGCTTCTCCCCAGAGACAGTGTGTGTGTGTGTGTTCGTGTGCAGTTGGGTAGGGACGTCTTAGAGTCTGTATCTCTCCATCGTCCCACCTGCTGTCCCTGGAACGCCCAGCTCAGGTTGCCAAGGTGCCCAAAGTGTGTTCTTTGAGGCAGGGACTTGCTGTTCTCGGTCTGTGCAGCGCCCGGCGCGACGGGACCCCGATCTCGGCCAGGGTCTGGGCGGCGCCCGGCACAGTGGGGACTCTGATCTTTAGGCACTGTTGCAGCACAGACAACAAATCGCAATGGTGCTAACGGTACATGTCACAGGACCATGGGCTCAGAGGACAGGGACACAGTTTGGGTTTGTGAGGCGGCGTGACGTGTTATTTGCCCCAGGGGAAGCTTGGGGTCAGAGCTAAGGTTATTCTCACAGAAGTTACAAGGATAGGGGGTGTCTGTAACCACCATGGTCCCCTCAGTGTCTCGTTCAATCTGCAGCACGAAGCCTGCGGTGACAGTGTGACAGGTTCTGTGTCGCTGCAACCCCCCCACCCTTGTGTTAAGCCTGGGCCCCGGAGCAGTCAGCATCTCACCCATAGGGCCTGTCTGCGTGAAGGGGATTTGCCGTGACTGGTGCCATTTACCCACCTTTCCCATTGCACGGGTGCAAGATCTGCTTTATCCAGTGCTGGGAGAGGGGGAGGTTCACATGGCGCTAGGACCGGGGGGTGCACGTTATGGCTGCACTGGGGGGTAGCAGACTCTAAATAGCCTCTCAGGGCCCTGGTAACTGAGGCTTCTGGAGCCACCGGTGGGGTGACAGGGGACGGGATGTGAAGGCCAATTGCAGCCCCCCCCCCCCGGTTTTCCTCCCCCTCCCTCACACAGGGACTGGGTGCCACGGGAGTCACACAAGGGCGCAACCCAGCCTGACTTGAGTGGGGGGTTTTCTTCTCCCCAGCGGGGCTCAGACTAACTTCATCTCACTTCCCAACCAACCACCCTCCACCCCAGTTCTGCACGGTCCCGAATCCCGTGCATCCCACTCTCCCATGCAGCGGTAGGCCCCAGACACCCTGGGGCCCCATTTCCCTCTCACAGATCCAACAGCGCCCCCCCCCCGTATCCTAAGCCCCCAGCCCTCACCCCATGTAGCCCCATTCCACACTGTGCACCCCCACGCGCCATTCATGCACCAACCCCCCCATAACCTCCGCACACCCCAGCACCCCAATTCCTATGCATGCACCCCCACAGCCCAGTGCATGCAACCTGCACCTCCATCCTCCTCCCTAGGTACATACCCCATGCCCCAGGGCACACCCGCTGCACCTCCATTCCCTGGCAAACCCCCACCTCCTGGCACCCCCCAGCACCCCAATTCCTATGCATGCACCCCCACAGCCCAGTGCATGCAGCCTGCACCTCCATCCTCCTCCCTAGGTACGTACCCCACGCCCCGGGACACACCTGCTGCACCCCCATTCCCTGGCAAACCCCCACCTCCTGGCACCCCAGCACCCCAATTCCTATGCATGCACCCCCACAGCCCAGTGCATGCAACCTGCACCTCCATCTTCCTCCCTAGGTACGTACCCCACGCCCCGGGGCACACCCGCTGCACCCCCATTCCCTGGCACCCCGGGGCTTGCAGCCCCATGCACCCCCCACCTCCTGGCACCCCCATTTCCCAGCCCTCTCATCCCCCCTCCCCCTTCGGACCCCTGCACGCACCCCTCCCCCCCGGGGGATCCCCGCTCGCCGCAGGCGCCTGCACAAGCCCGAACTTGTCCGCGCGGGGGCGGGCCGGCGCTGACGTCACGGCCGGGGGGGCGGTGCGAGCCTCGAGCCCCGGGAGCGGCTGGACTCCGCGCGCGACTTGTTGTGGCTTTTGCTTGTCCCGGTGCCGCTGAGCTCGCCGCGCCCGCCGCGCACAGTCGGAGCTTCCGCGGGACCCAGCGACCCCCGAGCCGCCCCGGGAGGGTTCATGCAGCTGCAGTAAGTGAGGCCGGGGCGGTTGCGCAGGGTCCGGAGGCGGCGGCGCGGGCGGCGGAGGCAGGTGCCCGCGGCACATGGCGATTGTTTTGGTGCCGGGCGGGGACGCGGGCGGGGCGGGGCCCGGTGTCTCGGCTCGGTCCCGGGGAGGGGGCAGTGCCCGGGGCGTGGGGCGGTGTTGCGGGGCCGCGGGGCAGGGATTGATAGCAGAGCTGGGGCTCGGGCGCAGTGCCTGGGGAGCTGGGGGTCCGGTGCCTGTGGATGGGGGGGCAGGTGCCCAGCCCCCCTCGCCACCCCCAGATCTCTCCTGAAAAACGGCATGTTGCAGCCTCCGCCGGTTCCCCAAAACCCGCTGGGACCTGCTGGCGCCCGGCGGGAGGGGACGGGACGGGACGGGACGGGTCCCGTCGGGGCTGCCTGGGTTTGTTTACAAACATTGGTCCCCCCCCGCCCGCTCTGCGGCGACCCCTGGTGGGGAGCGCGGGTCCCTGCGCCCCGGAGGGAGGCGGCCGCGGTGCCCCTGCCCGGTGCCGCTGCCCCCCTGACCGCCCCGTCCTTTGCCTGCAGAGCTCACCGAGCGCCATGGCCAGAGCACTGCAGGAGGGGAGCCGCGTTCAGCCGACAGCCGCCCTGCCAGGGGACCCAGGCATCCTGCTGGGGGGGCCGGTGGCCGTGCCGCCCCCCATCTGCCCGGGCAGCCTCGCCCTGCCACCCCGGCTGAACTGCGGCCTGTGCCCGGACGGCCCCGCTCCCTGCTCGCTCTACCGCTGCATCCGGGGGCCAGAGCCCCCCCGGCGCTGGGACGCCCCCCAAGCTGGCAGGACCAGGGGCAGCGTGGCACATGGTGAGTCTCCCTGCGAGTGCCCCCCATGGGGCGGGGGCATGGCCAGAGGGTGTGGGGGAAGGGGCAGGAAACCCAGCATGTGACCTCCGGCCCCCAGTCCCTAGAGGTCAGCTCCTGTCCTGAGGTGCCCCCCATTTATAGCCCTGACATCTACGGGTTCCCACCCCTTCGCCCTGCGGGGAGGGGGACAGCTGCCCCGTGGGGCTGCGGCTGCAGCCTTGTGGTGCCCCCGTTTGCAGGTACCAGCGGGTGCTGTAGGCAGCCTGTGGCCAGGGCGGGCTCGGTCCCGGCAGTGGTTCTGGGCGGGCTGCGCATGTCCCTGGCACGGTGAGCTGGGCACACGGCTGCCCAGACCCGTTCTCAGAGGCACCAGCTCTGGCTGTCTCCTCCCCAGACACGGACCCTTCGGAGCCCTGCAGGGTCGCTGGCAGGGCAGCGCCAGGCCCAGGACTAAGGCAGCCTGGGAGAATGGTCCGAGCCGCGTTCTGACTCAGCCACGCAGCGCTGCTGAGCTCAGGGGAGGGGGGGCAACCCAGATACCCCCAGCCAGCCCCCCCTTCCGCCCCAGTGCAGTTGCACAAGCACCAAAGGGACAGGTCCATTGTCACCCGTTGCACACACTGATGCACCAGCAGAGCCGGGGGGGGGGGGGGCGATGCTCCCTTGCCCTGCACTGGTCCCTGGGTTTTCCTGCGGGGCGGCTCCCCCTGCGCCCCGCAGCTGCCGCATACCATTCGCCGTGGCCCTGCTAGCCCCTGCCGGAGATGTCCCCTGGCGGCTCAGAGTCGCTGCGCTGCCCCAGCCTGGCAGGATCTGTGTCACCATCCGGCTGGGCCTCCGGCTCCCCGCTCCGCATGGAGCTGAGACACCTCGTGTCTGAGTAAACAGTGCACGGCCCCAGACCGCGCTGCTGACTCATGGCTCTCCTCCCCCAGGGCGCCGTCAGGCTCGCTTGGCTAACGAGGGGCTGCTCGTTAGCAGGCGGGAGGCAAGGAGCCGGGCAGGCAGATGGCAGAGTGTGATTGTGGGGATGGGGAGGTCGACCCGGGCAGCGCAGTTGGGCTGACAAGCTCGGGCATGTCCCAGCCGGGCAGAGTTTGCTTCTCTGCAGGGCTCCCCCGGGTGAGTCTCCAGGGGCAGTGCCGCTCTCGGCTGGGCATGGGGCAGGTCTGTACCCCGCCCCCAAGCTTCGCACTGGAGTGGTCACGAGGCTGCAGGTGCCACGGCCCCTGGGCGGTGACCGAGGGGGAAGACGTGGCCAGAGCAGCCCATGTGCCCGTTGCTGAGCTCGGGCCAGGGGCAATGCCAGAGGTCCTTTGAAACGGGCATCCTGCATCTCAGCCAGGAGATCGGGCTACTGATCCCCTGGCTGGGGGCTGCCCCACCCCCCCGTCCGTGAGAATTGTTCTGGGCTTTCCTGTTGACTGTCTGTCGGGAGCCGTATCCTGGCCCGACCCCTCTGGGCCCCATGCCAGCACTGGGAGCGAGACCTCAGCAACCATGCACTGGCCGGGCTCCGCTGCCAGCCCTGCTGTCCCCATGGGGCGAGGGTCAGAGCCCCCCGCCACCCCCGGCCCGCTGGGGAAGGTCCTGCCTGGTTGACCACTGGGGGAGCGGGGCTTAGGCTCACCTCTTTCCTGGGAGGGGCTGTTGGGGCACCTGCCCTGCAACCTGCCTCCTCCCATGGGTCCTGCCGCCCTGACCGCTTGGCTCTGTCCCCCCACAGGAGAGCTCCAGCCCGTGCAGGATGAGGGGCCCAACAGGGAGTGGCCCCCCACAGAGCCAGCCCCAGAGGGCGCAGTGTCCAACGGCCGCCTCCCCGGGGAGCCCCTGGACCCGGAGCATGCGCTGGGGGCCCAGCTACGGCGCATGGGCGACGCCTTCCACCAGGCCCACGAGAGGCAGGTGAGTGCCAGCGGAGAGACCAGGGTGTGGGGGGAGCCGGGGTCAGCAGAGGCAGGGGGCGGTGCCCAGAGAAGGGAGCCTGGGCTGGGGGTGGTGACCCTTGAAGGGCATTTGTCCAGCCTGGGTGGGGCTCTGGCCTTGCTGCTGGCGGAGTGAGCTCAGGGCAGAGGGGCCCAGCTCCTGTTGGAGTCACGCGCTCCTGGCGAGGGCAGGGTCAGCCCGGGATGCCCCTTGCCGGGTGGGGGGGAGCTGGAAAGGGTTAGTGGCTCTCCCAGGGAAAGAGATGCAGGAATAGAACCCAGGAGTCCTGGCTCCCTGCACCCCCCTCCCCTCCCAGCGCCAGGACCCCCGCGGCTGGCCTGCAGGCCTGGGAATCACACACCACCCCTCCCCATGCAGGCGGGGAGGCTGGGCCAGGCTGCGCCCGGGGTGGTTGGGCAAGCGAGCGGCTGAGTCACGCGCTATAAATAGCACTGGGTATATAAGGCCATGGAGCGAGCGGCAGGCAGCCTAGTGAACCTGGGAGAGGCAGCCCAGCACAGCCGCCCCCGCCGCACGCCCCGTGGCAGGGCGCCCGCACCCCCCTCCGGGGCAGCGGCGGGACTGGGTGCTGCTCACGCAGGCGGAGCTGGGGCTACAGCCAGCCCTGGCACCCCAGGGATTTAGGGAACAGGCAGCCAGTCCCGCTGGAGCCTGGTGGTTAGGGCAGGGAGTCGGTGCCAGCCGTGCCTGGAGGCCTTTGCCAGCGGGCTGAGCCCCATGGGGAGGTGGGGGGGGGATAGCAGAGGGTCCCGCCGCAGCACTAACTTGGCCTCTCTCTGTCCCCGTAGTGGCGGGAGCGGCAGCGACAGGGAGCGCTCTGGGCCCGTTTCTACCACTTCATCTCTCAGCTGCTGGGTGCCCTCTACAACATGCCCGTGGACGTGATGCCAGAGCTGCAGCCCAACTAGCGCATCTCGGGGCCGGAGCCGCAGCGGCGGGGGGG